TTTTTTTTAATATTTTCAGCTCGACTTTAGGAAATTTATCAAATTCACCGTCCGCGTGTTTTGTGGCGAGCGATGGTGAAAGTCTCCGACTCTTCCAGGCTGTCATCGATGCGCGAACACTTTTAGCGGAAATTGCTACTTCGGAGCGACGTCACAAGGACACATCGGTAAATTTTATAAACGATAGTTTAAAATATTGTTTTATTACTATTTTTTTAAAAACTGATACTTTTTTAATACTGCTGAAGGAATCCAATCGATAATCCTTTCAATCTACAGATGTATTCAAAGATTGTTTAATTTTTCCTTTTCATTGTTTTATACGAAAAATCCATTTTTATTTAATGTTACATTATTTTAATATTTGTTTTGTCTAGCAACATCACGACACGATGTCGCTATCGTCTGTGTCAAGCGCCGGCGAGCCGGAGGAGGGCGGGGTGCCGCTCCACGAGCGCATCCGCATCGTGTCGCAGCAGTCGACGGCGCGGCCCGGCGCCGTCATACAGCTGCACGCCATCGCGGACGCCGCGCACGACTGGCACAACACGCAGCTGCTGCACGTCTTCCAGGAACAACTCATCACCGGTACGTACGTACACATACGAATACGGTATACGTACAGACACGGAAAATCCGAGGTGTTCTATTTCAGGAAAAATTGCCTCGTACATTATAACGAGACAAAGTCCGCCTTTCTACAAATAATTAATTAGATAGTGAGTGGTGCAAACGAAGGGATAATAATACTTTTTTTTTTATATAAATACATTTATAAGCTACAGTGTATTGGTTTATGTTTTGCGTCTCGTTTCAAAGTGTTCAAAGGGTTCAAAGGATTGTAGCTTTTAATGTGGAACATCGCCAGTTTTCCCAACTGTACGTCCTTATATGTATACGTGGCTTACTTTATTGGTTTTGACAGGCTTAGTAAAGCATGTTTGTTGGTCTCTGTACAAATAATGTTGTAGTTTTAACCGATTTTCAATAAGACGAAGGTTCTCAATTCGTCTATTTTTTAATAAAATGTACTTAAATCTTAATAAACCATGTTTTATGAAGGTGAAAGAACAACAACGGATACGGACAGCGCGGATTCCGGTGTGGAGGGCTCTGATGTGAACACTATCACTGAAGCTGGTTTCGAAGCTATCGTGGACCTGCGCAAGGCGGCGGTGTTCAATGAGCCCTTCTATATCGTTGTGTTGGAGCGAACTGATGGCGGCTCTACTGTACACATGTGGAGACTTATGGTGTCGTCCCAAGCAGATCCATCAGGTAAGAAAATTAATATATTTTGTTTTTTTTTTTCGGTTTTTTTTTAATTTGAAAATAATTTATGTAGTGTCTTGTATACTACACAACTATATACTATTGTACTGTCTATGATAATATTGTAAAGAGAAAAGATTTGTATTTCTGTATGTATTGAAATAACTCAAAAAGTACTGGGCCGTTTTCAAAAATTCTTTCACCATTAAAAAGCTTTGTTATCAGTGAGTAACATTGGACATATAATTCAATTTTACGTGGACGAAGTCGCAATAACTAGTTTCTTTTATATATAAATGTACTCTTTGCAGATGACATGACAAACAGTATGATGTACGTACCAGACAGTGCGCTGGTGCAGGAGGAG